TGGAATTTCTTCTGGATGGAATCCAGCAGCTTCAGGATATGCTTACGGGTGGAGCCACAAATATATCTTGTCAATGCCGTTAAACTCCGTATATGGTAATGAAGCAATCTTGGGGTCATGTTATATCGATGGATATAGGCTGAAACGGCATATGCTACAGTAGATTAGGGTGTTGAACACACCATCCTAGCAGGCCATGATGACTTCAGCACACTTGACCTGGGGAAAGCAAAGATCAGGTGCTCTGATAAGCCGAAGCTTTCAATGTTGTTAAAAAATCAATGCATTGACATATCCTTGTGTTACTGCAGGAGTGAAGTGATCTCTACGGCTTTTATGTTTGCCAAATGGGTTCCAACTTGGTGACAGAGTTGTGGTCACCTCGTTCAGCGTCAAAAACTAAACCAATCCATCAGCCGCTTGGGCAGGTGCCTTGAATAGAAATACTCTAATACCTGCTCTCTCACTCCAAACTAAGAAATCTACGGTCTTCCTGTTATCGGAGGGAATACAACCGTGAAACGGACGATTTCGAATGTAGACTTCTATGAATATGTATATATACACATATATATATATATATATAGGCAACAACCAACCTATCGACGTAGGCAGCTACAGCTACCTGCGTGACATCTGGGTCCAGAGTACAAATATTAAAAATATACAGAATGAACGAGTGTACTGATAGAAATAAAAAATGAGGTGAATTAGCGGACATAACTACTCGAAAGTGGGGTAAAACCGCGGACACGTGTTTCTGGATATTGGCCTCGAGGCTTATATCGTGATATATGGATGATTTTCAACACATATTTTTTGAGTTTCCTCATTAAGGTAACTCTTGCACATTCGTCTTATCGCCAATAATGTATCAGGCAGCACGAAAACAACCGTGGCATCATTACCCGGTATTCTGGTCAAGTCAACTAGAATGAAAACGAAGTTCCAGGGAGGGCAGAAGCACCCTAAATACCTATCTAACTTGAAACAAATTGGACCACGTCAGGAGCGATGAATACTCCGAAGAAATAATTAAACTCAAAACAATATTCTCTTTAAGCTTCTCTCAAAAGTAGGATTGAGAAAATTGCAGCCGTGATGAAATACTTGTGTTCTGTCAACAGTCTATTAAAAAATAAATTTCAATATTCAACTTTGAACTCAGGTATTTGACGTTTTTCTAGTAAAAAAATATTTAGTCATAACAGAAAAGAATACCAATATAATATACTGCTAAACGACTCAATAAACTATATTGAAAGATACAAATGTAGAGACTGTAAAGCACAAAAACGAAACTGAACATAATTATTCTTCACAAGTCACATGCTGATATTTTAAATTGATTCTCATGATTGCCTGTTATAGATGAAACAGACAATATGAATACTAATATACTCAACAAGTTCTTCCGTTAATTGAAAGCAAATTATTTAGACCATATATCTTATTGGTCTCTCAGTTGGTATGTAAAAACTTCGATCCATTCGAAAACGTCATTGCAGCAAAAACGAAGGTTTTGTATTCAAGGAAAGGAAATATAACGGCGTATAACTTTCTTTATTTTATGAATACACTGACCCGCTACTTCATGTAAATTAGTAACAATATCCATTATAATGATGAAGTTTCCGTGTAACGAAACGTGCAAAACACTTTATAGTGAAAATTGTATAATTATTATAATGGCTAGTACTTTTCCATTTTGTTTCATAATCCATTTGTAATGTTCTACTCCGCAGTTTCGATAAAATTTCTGGAATGTAGTTTTTGTTGCCTCTGAAAGCAGTGCCAAATTTTACCTTGAGTGTGGTAAAATTTGTTTGACACCTCAAAAATGAATCAAACAGATTGAAGCATCCTACCCTTATCTATATCACATAAATACATATGTGCTCAAACCAATTACGACAATTTTGACAGGATATAATGACAATTCAATTAAAAAAGTGACCCTTTTCAAAAAGTTATTATAGCTAATGACCCTCGCACCAAATCAAAAAAATGAAATAATTTCATTGAAATCGTCCTCAACAAGTTTGTGGATTAAAAACGCCTCTAAGCAATAGTGGTTAGCAGATTAATTTATTTAATTCCGGTTGAATTTTAGCTGTTTTATATACTTTGAGTGATGCCCATCAAGATGAATATAATTCACCAGTCGAACACTTCTCTTTGGATGCAAATGAAATCCAATAAGCATCAAGAAGATGCTTACTGTTTATAAGGTATTTTAAAAATAAAGATAATAATACTAGAAAAGTTTTTTTAGCTCAACGAATGGGTATTATTAGCTAATGGTGAATTTCTTCACATTCATGTGCTTTCAAAATGAGCATACTGAATATAATCTCAATTTTGCAATTTTGACGGCATCAGGTATTGATTTCTCAATGTTACCAAAAATGCAACTATTTCAGTATTTGACAAAATTCAACAATTCACAAAAGAAAATGTTCAAATTTAACTAAACTCATTCTCCACTTTACGAAATTACTGAATAACGGTTACCTAGTCCCAATTGTAAGGGTGTGGAACAAACCCTTCTAATGAAGTCACTGTGTATATCACAGAATAATTGTGATAACTTCGAGCAAGTTATCACAATTGAATTAATTCGAATATGAAATGAGAGTAATACATTTTTACATAATATGCAAATAACCCTTTGAGTTATCTGTTCAAAGCACAATTTGTGCATGATCACGATATTAAAACGTATTATAAGCAGTAGTTTCAATAATATATTCGAAAAATATGCAGATTACTTGATGCTGGTAGTATAAATTTAATAAAGGTTGCCATCACATTTTGATTTCATGTCCAAAGATTGTCAATAAATAAATGAAGATATTTGCTAATGTATTTTTGTAGGATTAAGATACATATGATTGTGAAATTTATTTTCGATTATTTCCGTTTGTATCCTGTATCTGCATATTCATTAACTTCCATATTGGTTTCATTTTAGTACTATAAGGTTGAACTCTAACGCTATTTACTTTTCAGCTACGTTTGGTGAATTGGGGCGTGACTATTAATATCACATGAACCCAGTCGGTTCTCCAAAGGCAAAACGAATTCATTTTGTAATTAATGTTATCGAGTTTGTCTTCATACGTTCGTTTTCAATTTGCTCAATATCAATACCAAATATTGAGTTGTTTTTCATTGTGAACGAACTTATTTAGTGACAGTAATTTTATAATTCCCAATAACAAGGATGAGTTTTGAAATAACGCAAGTGAAAAAAATGGGACAAAAGAAATAACTTTCAATAAATTTATAGCTCTCTGATAAAAATACAAAAAGTTCGAAAGTTAGCGCACGTTTACAGACAGTACGTATTTTGCATATTTTCTGAAATTACAGCGAATGGGTATATAAGATAAGATCGAATTGGGATAGTTTTACCCTTCGAATTTTGTCCTATCTTCTGCATAGAATCATTGAAAAATAACGAATTTAGACGACTGAGACTAATTGATATGTTACATGGCATGCAAACAATGCTATTCAATTTCATGTTTTAATTGATCGGGGTCACAACGGTCTGAAGTTAAGCAGTATTTGAATTGTTGTTAAGATAGTAGAACAATCACTTGTTGTATGTGTATATTCTCACCTTTTTTATTTCATGTGAAATTAATTTAACCCTTAAATGCATGATTTTTTTTTCTCGCGAAATATCGAAAAGTCACAACTAATTATAAAGAAGTAACAGTGACAAATAATAAAAAAAATTAATCTTTATTTTTCAGTCTGTTTTCATAAAAATAATGTTTGTTGCCAACTGGCTACATTATGCATTAGTACTAAAAAAATTATTCATGGAAATTTTTGAAACAGTTATTGTTTTTGTTTAGGCACAACCCAATTCCACATTTTTCGCACTTGGTACGTGTGAAACCCACACAGTTGGGATATTTGCACCTCATTTTCAAATCTTGCGGCATCGGCCAATGACCAGTTTGATCTGTGCGTACTTCTTTAGGTGGCACATGTTTAGTTGGACCTCTTTTTCTTTTCTCTTCGATCTCAGACTCCAAGTTACTAGGTCTACCACGTTTGGTACGATATGCACCTAACTGGCACAAATGAAAGGCAACTTCAGAGCGAAATTCGGCCTGATTCTTGACTTTGCTAGCACGACCGTTTTCAGAATGCACTCTCTTGTAGAGTAACCAAGCATTCACAAGGGTCATATCAATAAGATGGTAGAATATTCTCATGTACCATTTTCGACTTTTCAGACGTATCTTATATCTCCCCATCAAGCTGTCTAGCAAATCCACTCCTCCCATGTGGCGGTTGAATGCAGAAATGATATAGGGACAATCGGCCTCAATCTTTTCCTTTTTCTTTCGATCGAATCTTTTTACTTTTGAAACTGGGTTTTTCCCAGCAAATGATGATATGAGCGTAACATATTTGTTGTCTTTCCAAATCAATGAAGATATGTCCACACCATCAACTGTGGCTACATATTCATGGCTAGTACCACGAGATACTTTTTTCAGTGATAATTCATTAGGTAATTGACAATTTGGTAATCTGTTGCGACGTATAGTACCCAAAGAGAAAATTCCTTGTTTTGCGAGATGCACCATGAGTGGAACAGCTGTGTAGTAACTATCATGATATAATCTATAATTTTTCATCCTTGGTATGATCCTTGCTAATCGTAATACTATATTTGAAGTAACTCCAAAATTGGGCTCATTATCTTCTGTGTTTTTAAACTTTTCCTGACCAGTATAGATCTCAAATTTATATGCAAAACCAGACACACCTGCTAAAACAAAGAACTTGAAACCCCACTTATGGGGTTTCATCGGCATGTATTGTTTCATATAGTGTCTCACTTTGGTGGAGCACATTTGTTCGTCTGTACTAAGATGTTGCTCCAAAGCAACTGACGAACATTTTTTATTCAAATGATCGACCAGGGGTCTTATTTTGTGCAGCCTATCGTGTCCAGGACGATCAGGAGGAATGAAAGCATCATTATCATTGAAGTGAATGTACTGCCTGATTTTCTCGAACTTGTTTACTGGCATAACATCAGCTATGTTCGAGAATCGAAGATCATCACTCCAGAAAGATCGGGTGTTTGGCATATTGACTAAGGACATGTACGTTACTATACCAATATATTGTTTTATATCAATATCTGTAAAGACAGTAGGCCTCTCTGGCTTTTTCTGGACAGAAAATAAATTCGTTTCTTCGACAATTTTATCGTAAAGTTCCTTCGAAAAAAAGTAAGTAAAAAAATCGTATGGTGATTCTAATTTACGAATATCAGTAGCAAGTTCTGTTTCTCCGTGAAATTGTAACTGGTCCTCGTTTAGCTGCATAGCTTTTTGTTTCCATATGATATTTTCTTGAGTAACCTTCTTCTGTTTGTCATTTTGTTGAAAAAAGGATAAGGGCAAATTATCTTCATTGTCGCTAACCTCTTGTTCAATTGTCTCCAACGGTTCTCCTGGGAACTCGACCAAACCTACTTCATCAGTAAAATCGTTTTCTGGAACAGAACAAGAAGGTTCATCTTCACTATCCGTTTCACATTCATCCCCACCATCCTCACTTTCTAGACCGGTAAAGTTTTCCCAATATTTTATCAGCTCTGCTTCTGATAGAATTCGCTTTGCATTACTCATTCTGAAACAACACCAGCACTTACAACTATACCCCAAATGCATGATGTTGCCAATCGGCATCAAAACAAATTCACAATTTTTCAAAAAAAAAACAACTTCTGAGTAATCTATATGAGTATCAAAGTGTAATACATACCTTGAAGACTTGGAAACACAATTTTGCAATTCTCATAAAGCCACTGAAGCAAAACAACTGAATATTCAATTTTATGAAACAAAACCATGTGCTCGAGTCGGTGGCCAGCTGATAATAACTGTCCACTTTTTCCCAATGGCGCCACCACCGCTCAACTATTATGATTTTATTCTTTAGTGGTGTGTTGCCAATCGGCTAAGGTATGCAGCGAGCTCTAATTTGCGTTCTCATATATTTTACGTATCTAAATATGGGATCGTTGCCAGACGGCAACAAGATGCATTTAAGGGTTAACTTACTCAATCGGTAGTAAACTATTGAATGAAATTGACAACAGTTTGACAGTTGGTGATTGATAACGATTTCAAACAATTTCATTACTAAACAACTAAACAAAACAAAAAATTAGATTTAAAATATCAAGGAGAGAAACGAATATATGATAGATTACGGTTTTGTTTTTGAATATTGAATATTTAGTTTGGGATATTAAATTGCATATAAATTTTGGCAGTGTATTCGATGAAGATATTTCACATTGTGTAAATTGGTGTCGTGATTAGTATATTGACGACACTGGTTGAATTATTCTTTGTTGATGAGACTTACCCAGGCTCTGAGAAATGATCCTTACAAGTATACGGAAATAACTTATAAGGAATTGTTTGAGCAGTTGAGTTACGCATCAAATATGTAAATGTTGGGATTATGTTTTATATCATATATATTGTGTGAAATAATTTGAAACATATTTTCTGCTTTTCAACGTATGTTACTAAAAGTTAGTTTTTGAAAATATTTTTACTAATCATTTATTATTTCTTCTTTGGACAGCTCTTCAGCAGAGTAGGCCTCTCCGTTCAATATCAGTGTGTGTCCTCTGATTTTTGCTGCTAAGTGATTGAGTTCACCTTCTTTCAGGTGACTTACCTATATTTTATTGTCCGAACGGTCTTGATAACCTTTATCAAAGGTACATACTATATTGGTTCCTGTCTGCTTGTGGATATTTCAAAATGAAATATTTTTTATATTCACAATTTTAATGGTAGGTCATGCTGGAGTTATGCTAAATTATTTTCAGTTGATCTATTTCGTAAAACCATGATGGTTAGGTGAAATAGTGTAACGGAACCAGATATGAACATGATAATCTCAAACAACTTTCCAACGTTACGAAATATGACAAATGCCTATAATTTGTTTTTCTCAGTTGTTTTCAGATTTGGAAATGGAACACATTTTTGTTTTTTTTCAGATCTTTACAGCTACCTCCGAATTCACTTTACTACTCCAAAAAGGTAGAGTAAGATCGGAACGGCAAGCATATTTATGGCCGCAACTCCGTTCTTCTCCGACAGTTCCGATGAACAGATCCGCCAGAGTGTATTGTTTTTATTTCCTTCCCGAAGGTTGAGCTGGTCGGCTCTATCTCCGAAGCCCTGAAGTATTCGGTAGGGCGCGCCGCCATCATCATCCGATGGTCACTCACTACACCGAGGAAAAAGTGATCAAGCAGATGCATTGAGCCAAAAACTACATCCTTCTGCATTTGTTGCTTTCGTTTAGAAAAACTACATAAGGTTCATCAGCTTGTATAAGCCTGAGGGTGGAAAAAGAACAGTTCCAATAAATTCCGCACTTTTCATTCCTCGAAATGGATTCAATATCCCCAGGAGGGTGGGGCAACACTGGTGTTTTTTTTTGAGAACAAAACACAAAAACTACAGGAAAATCCTTAAGGCGTTCTGAGAGCGGTGCCTATGCGAAAGTAGCGATTCACGTTGAATTTGAATCGCTGAATATGAAATTCATTCGAAAAAACGTTATCAGGAAGTTCATCACCTAAACACAGTTCACCAAATGAAAGAGTTCTAAAACAGTGAAGTTCTAGGTGTACTGAGTTGAACCTCAAAACGATGAGCAGCCACAGTCCGTCGCGTATTTCTGATATGTACCGCTCTTGGTGTAATGAAATGTGCCAAGTCATTGGAATACTTTCTTCGATGTTTCCAGACTATCAAGGCTGCAAGTGATTTTCGCGGATGGCTCTTTTCTGGATGGAATCCAGCAGCTTCAGGATATGCTTACGGGTGGAGCCACAAATATATCTTGTCAATGCCGTTAAACTCCGTATATGGTAATGAAGAAATCTTGGGGTCATGTTATATCGATGGATATAGGCTGAAACGGCATATGCTACAGTAGATTAGGGTGTTGAACACGCCATCCTAGCAGGCCATGATGACTTCAGCACACTTGACCTGGGGAAAGCAAAGATCAGGTGCTCTGATAAGCCGAAGCTTTCAATGTTGTTAAAAAATCAATGCATTGACATATCCTTGTGTTACTGCAGGAGTGAAGTGATCTCTACGGCTTTTATGTTTGCCAAATGGGTTCCAACTTGGTGACAGAGTTGTGGTCACCTCGTTCAGCGTCAAAAACTAAACCAATCCATCAGCCGCTTGGGCAGGTGCCTTGAATAGAAATACTCTAATACCTGCTCTCTCACTCCAAACTAAGAAATCTACGGTCTTCCTGTTATCGGAGGGAATACAACCGTGAAACGGACGATTTCGAATGTAGACTTCTATGAATATGTATCATTTTTCGTGGCATTACGTCGATTTCATACAGCTCCTTCCGAATCCACTTCACTACTCTAGACGAGTAGAGTTATTATTACCATTTTTATTTTTCCTTGAGGTTGCGTTGATCGGGACCTATCCCCGAAGCACCAATACATTCCTGAGAGTGCGCCAGTATTATCAATCAGTGGCCACTCACATCGTGAGGTAAGTGATATTATTATTATTGTTGTTATCAATAATATTGTTTTCATTTTCATTATCATAGTCAATAATATTATTATTATTTCATCTGGAAAAGAGTTGCTGCCCAAAACCTCCTAACGTCCCCGCAGGTAACTTCACTATGAAATTACTCAGGAAAACTATTTTCTTAGTAATACATTAGGTAACAGTACAAAAAAATTATTTTTTTTGGTGAAATATTTTAAATATTTTGATTATCCGAGTATAAACCAGAAGGAAATAACTGCAATGCTGAATCGACCATATTTTCTGGAAATATATATATGTAGGTACACTGTATGAGTATGTGTTGGTTCATCTTCGATTAAATTTAAAATGTTCTCGTATATCTACAACATTATACGATTATATGAATGTCATCGTACTGACGTCTGAAAGCTTTCAGTAATTGATGTGTTCATTAAGAGAGTGATAAAATCAACATGCATTTTGATCTTAATAAGACTAGGTGCAGAAGGTACCGTAATAGCAATTTAATTCACAAACAAAACCGCTACTCACTTTCTCCCTTATCCCTATAAAATCTTATACGATATGGAACACGTGCTCCTGTCGTTTCTTGATCTTTCGAACGGGAAATTGTGATAAATTAACTTAATATACCTTGATATCAACAAAAAAATTAATAAAATGGCAATATGATCGACAATGGTATATACCACAATGGTATATAGTTTTTGTGAATGATTGTCGATCATTCATTTTCTATGTAACGTTCGCCATTCTGAAATTTGTGCCGTATAACCCATTTGGACGCTTGTGTTCGAAAAATACACACCGATAGACCACAGAAAACCATAGCCAGGAGTTTCTCAACTCCTCTAAGCTTTGAAGAGAAGTGACAAATTCTCATTTAGAGCTGAAAATTTCAGTTTTTGTCGGTCTTTAAAAAGGCCAGATTCATATCAAATTGTAGTTGAGGAATCACAATTAGAATTGGCTGACTGTTATTTCACACAGTGATAAGATGAGGAGGATCAGCATGGAAAAATCGAAATCTACAATAGCAAATTTTCAAAAGTAATTCAAATAAGCTTCAAAATGATCAACTTTTTTCCCATTGTAGAGGCCGCGCTGGCCCTCCTCATTTTAGACTCAGAGTATATTAACTGGTTTTTTAAATAAAAATTTTAGATCAGTAAGCCTGATCAAAACCATAAATTCATCAACTTACTCATTAGTGATGAGGGTACTCATTTCAGTATTTCACAATTTTCCCGACAATAATAATATTATCAATGTCATGAGATTGTATTGTATCTAACAAATTTCAAATGTCTTCTATTCAAACAGTTATTCGAATACATAGAAAATATTTTTATATCATATACTTGGTTGAAAAAAGTAGCAGAGACATTAGGGCTATTAATAATTTTTTGATCATTTTCACTATTTTTCTCAATTGCCGGAACGAATTCCATGTTTTTTGATTGTTTAGGATTTCATTAACTCATTTCAATAAAAAAATGAAGTCTTCTTTGTAATAATTTCACTTTGACGAAACATTTTCAAGTTATTTATAGTATGCATATGTAATCTGCCCAAACATGATTGAAATTCAATTATTGATTCAGAAATAGTTTTGTTCAGGTTCAGTTTCTTATTTTTCAGTTTTCTACTGAATCTATGAATGGATTGAAAATACAATATGACTTAGAGATAATTAATGTCATGAAAAAATATAGAGTATTTCTTCAGAATAATAATACATTTCAATAGGTCTACTTTTTTCGTGAATTCCTAAATATGAAATATTTTTTCAATTTGTTTGTTGAATATACAAGTTCATTCAATTTTATCTTCCTAAAGCCGACCTTCATTAGTATATAACAAAGGATTTACGTACAAATTTCATCAAATGATCTATTTTCTGTAGAAATATTTTCAAAGGAAGTAGACAATATGGCACGCTTATAGTACTTGGCACACTTTTAAGTTGAAAATGCAGGTGATACGAAGAAATGCAATACTTTAATAATGGAGTTTTAAATGGGGCGCAGATGTGTTTTACTAAACAGGTCAGAAGTTTGGGGAGTCCTATTAAATAAATCTCTTTTTTTTTTCAATTGAGTAGAAACTAAAACTTTTTCTATGATTTTATTGTACTCATGACTATTGAATAATGTAATGAGTGACAAAATGGTTTAGACTTTCACGACTGAGGTTTTCAGTGTCATTGCTTTTTGGAGTTTGAGAGCCGTGGATTTTTGGAATTTCTTCCTGACGTTTTTTCCTGAGTCATGTCCTGAGTCATCGGACAGCAAATCATGGTGGTTAAAACTCAGAAGAAGCTAGCCACTCGCGCCAGCGAAACGTCAGGAAGAAATTCCAAAAATCCACGGCTTTCAATGCGAAAAGCAATGACACTGAATGTAATGAGTATTAACTAACTAAACTCACATTGAAAATAGAGTTGAAAATAT